TAAAAAAGCTTTTTATTTAAGAAGTCTTAAAGAAATGTATAAAAAGATTTTGATAAAATATCTGATAATTATCTTTGATATCAAAATGATGAGCATAATATATTTCAGTTTAATATTTCAATATTGTTAACTCCTTTGATACAATTTCATTGACACATCTAGTATATCTGAATAAACAAGCTTCTTTAATATTTATATTTAAACATTATTGTGATTTAAAAAATAAAGCAAGTATTGTGAGTATAATCAAAATATAAACTTAAAATATTACTGTATTAGTATCAAAAATTGGATAAAGACATTAACTATAATCTATAATATATATTTCTACACGCCTTTAAAATATTTACATATTATCTACATTGAATTATGAATCAAAATATCCACAAACTTATAAATTATTTATAATAATATCCAAAATAAATATACATTTGGAATTAAGAAATCATCAACTTTTTGGAAGACTGATACATCAAATTATAAATTAAAATTCAATTATTAAAAGGAATTTAAAAATATATTTTTAGCTTAAATAAATTCACTAGTATACATGATATACCACTACTCTTACTACTTCATTTTGCTGTTTATTATTTATAAATTATCAATTTTACTTTCGTACACATGTAATTTTTAGTTCATTTTTAAATTTAAACTAGTTATTTAATTACTTTTAATCATTCCAGAATTATTTTATATGTATATAAATAAAATAAATATTGATATTCTATTAAAACTTATTTATAAACATAAAGAACTTATTAAAACAAAAATTCAGTTTACTCCCCTCTCTTCTGAATAATTAATTAAAAGAGAATATTATGCATAATTACTCACAGACAATTATTTTGAAGTTATGACAGCAGAATAAACAGACCAATTATTGTAACTAGTGATGGTATAATAACCTCCCAATTAATGTTTGTTTTCTGATGAGCGAATATTCATAAACACCTACCAACATGACACACCATGTCTATTGTCTACTAAGACCTAATTACACTTCATAAACTATACCTAATTATCACAATAGAAATTTCTCAAACAATAATAAAGTTATTTTTATAGTGTGAAATAAGTGCTATGATTATAATTTTTGATTTAAAAGAACGTCTACTCGTGTGTTGTCTTTTATTTTACAAATGCACAACATAGCAAGATTGATTCCAGCAGTTATGATTATGTGGTTTTAGCTTATAAGAATTATATTATCTATCTTGTTTTCATAAAATTTTAATTTTTAAGCCAGTTATGTKTGATGTGAATATAAAATATAAAAACTTTATATTAATAATCATAATTTGTTTTAATACAGAGATGGAGAATTTACATTTAAAAAATATAAGTAGATTTATCAGTAAATTTACAATAAAGGCCATTTTTTTTTTATTAGTAAAAACAATTTTTGTATCTATTGTTGTATACGTTACAAATTTARTAATTTCTAATAAAATGGATCTTTTGTTCGGTATCAAGAGATATTATGTATATTTTATTATCCATRATACAATTATTAAATAATTAATATTAAACTGTCAAAATTAACACAACATTAATTTATTTTTGTATATTGAAAAGTTTAAACATTTATATTTATTAACTTTTAACTATTAGTTAAGTATATACAGTTTTAAGAAAATAGAAAATATGAGATGATTATAGTTATATAATATCATTGAATAAATGTTTAAAGCTAACATCACAAAATTGGAACCATGAATGCAAATTTACTATTTGGTCTGTTTATAAGACAAAGACAACACAAACGAAAACAACATTCTACCAACTATTTTTAATATTTTATTTTTAACCTATAACGATTACAATATTTAATATTCAAAGCAATTAGCAAGGTAGAGAATAATTGTTGACATATTATCTGAAACACTATTTTTTAGATATTAAACAATATTTAAAAAACTTATGTTTTATCAAATGTCTGGTTTTTCACTACTGTTATTAATTCAGATAAAATAGTGAGGTATTAAGAAAAACCAAAAGATTTATAATCTTAATTTCCTTTAAAATAAAATCATGAAAATAGAGACATTACTAAAACTATTTTATGAATATTTTACTAGCCCAGATAAAACTGAAATTTAAATACATATAATGGAAATATTAACCATATATATGATTAAGCATAATTATTATGATATAAAGTTTTTTGAAACAAAATCTTCATATTCTGAAAAAAAACATAAAATACATTATAAYGAAATGTTACATCAATAATYATTCGAGATTTTTAATTTCTAGGAATTTACAAATTAAATGTATGATTATTTTAATTTAATTTAATATTATATTATATTATTTTACSTGTAGTCGAACATTTTAATTTTAAAATTTGAGGTATAACTGCATCAATTTGAAAACTACCCAACAAACTAGAAAAGAATATTTCTTCTATGATATTAGGTTGTAATGATCGTAAAGTTGGAAGTCGTAACAGTAATATGGCTATACGGTGTTCATCGTTACATTCTTTAATTAAATGTTGTTTCAATTCTTTGACAGCTTTTTCTTGTAGTTTGTATAACTGTTGTCTTTCAGAAGGATTATCTGTAAACAAAATATGGATATTCAATATTATCTGCAATATTTTAATTTAAGATTATTTATTTATAATTCAATATTTAGGATTTACCACTGTTAAATAAAGATATTAATTTTAAATATGCATATTCCACTTCATTCACTTCAATATTTTCCATTTCAGTAATATAATCTTGTATTCTATTGAGGTAATCAATGAGCTAAAAATACATATGCATTAGTAATATTTTTTAAATATAACTAAAAAGTTATACTTTCAATTTTAATATGTCATTACTTATTTGAAAACTTTCTAAAAGCATTCAAGTCATGTCAGTGTTTTGTGACATATATTTTTTTTTTTGCAAATACCTCCTTATAAATAACTAATAAGTACTATTATTTAAGTAGCTTATAAGTTTTATGTTAATTTCAATTTAATTATACATTTATAATGTACCACTTTTAACTCAATCATTGATTTTATAGATATTTCAAATTGCTTGAATCGATCACTTGTCTGTAAGACTAATTCATGAGATACATAATATTATCATGTGTAGTAGAATTTTTGCTAAAACGCTAAAATACATGACAAAATTGGTATGATCACAGTTTTAATAATACCCTATTTATTTAGTCATAGAAAATGCAGAAAACTTATGGAAATACAGTGGACACCACTTATAAGACTCACAGATATAAGGTTTAGTCACTTAATTGACTTAAAATCGTCAAGAACGGTCCGGACATATCCAAAAACATTATAACAAATTCAGTTATAAGATTCAAATTTTGTAAAAAAAAAAAATGTAGAAAATAAATATTTTTGATAAAAATTTAGAAATAAATTTGTTTTAAAAAATAACATATTTTTGTTGATTATTACTGGTTTCGATTTATGCTTTAAAATGTGTGTATGTACAATTTTAATTATAATTTTTTCATTTATTCACTAATAAGCAAGGCTCGGAACTTTAGGTATTTGCATATTTATCTAGAAAGTGCATATTGAAATTCTGATTCAATGCAAATTCGATTCATCGTACGCATAATTTAAATACAGAATTTTTGTTGCATAATTTTGCATATTTCGTTATTTATTGTACAAATACGCATAGCTTAGGTTTAAGAACATTTTTATGCGTATTTCATAGATTTAACGAAAACAATTTTTTTTTTTTAGAAATTTATAGTTAAAAAAAAAAATATTAGATATATAACAACCRAAATAAATTCATGACACATGCCCCGAATATCCCCTTACCACCAGAGCCAGTCATTACACGTTGGGGCACGTGGCTAAATGGTAGTATTTATTATTGTGAATATTAAGAACAAATTTGTGAAATTGTGGAAATGTTAGACTCAGAAGATGCATTATGTATAAAAATAGCAAAAAAAAATTTGGTAAAAAATAGTATCAAAAATAATCTGGTGTACATAAAATCAAATTTCAAAGTAATTTCAGATTCGATTTTAAAATTACAAAAAAAAAAATGCCTTTGTTTGAATCTTTAGATATTCTCCAAAAAGTTCAAGTACAGTTACAATTGGCTCAGGGTAATGATGGGCAAAAAGTATTTAAGAAATWTAAAACAGTTTTAAACAAAAACAACGGATTAAAAATACTAAACAGATATCAAAAATACTTTGTAGAGAATATTGATGGTCTACTTGAATATCTTACCACAAATGATCTAAGTTTCTACAAGTATGCTCCAATTACATCAGTTGATGTGGAGAGATCTTTATCGATTTACAAAAATCTCTTGACTGACAATCGAAGATCTTTTAAACTCGAGAACATTAGAAAACACCTCTTAATTAAATGCAACACAGGTAAAAATAAAACAACTTCTCTAATTGTTTAAATATTAATTGATTTTACTTTTTTAGTAGGAAATAATTTTGATGAATGATGATACAAATTGTATACCATCAGGATGACACAGCAATTTATACATAAGGGATGCAGTGTTAATATCTTTCCCATTTAATGTTTTTTCTCAAGTAGTTACCTAATTTAAATTATAAATTTTGCATGTAAAATGTATTTCGTTCAATAAATTGCATATTTTCTATTTTTTTACTGCATATCATACTGATTTAAACGCATATGTATGCGCATATTTGAGTAATTTTTAGCGCATAAAGTTTCGAGCTAATAAGTAATATGTATGTATTAAAGTCGTTTAAAATAAAAGCTAGATATGTAATAAAATAAAATAAATAAGTATTTTGTATTTTTTTTCCAYTTCGCCTATAAGAATCATTTGATTATAACTTTATAAGACCCAATTTATGAAGGTYCCAAAGTGAGTCTTATAAGCGGCGTCCACTGTAGTTACCATGGTAACAATAGTGACATAGTGACTCGGAAAACCATTTAATTAGTTTGTATTTTTTATCCAAGTTCTACTTTAATTATTAAATTTATTTATTTACCTCTTTAGCTTTACTGGAGTTGGGTGAGTTGTGAATTTCATCATTTTGTAAATGAGTTATCATAGAACTAAGTACTGGTATCAATGATAATGCTTGTGCGCATTGAGTTAAACCCAAAATAAACAGTTGTGACCAGGAATTTTTCAGCAGACTAAGTTGTACTTCAAATCTAAAAATTTATTTAAATTAATTGATAAATTCTTGCACATTTTTATTTACGACAAYAACAATAATAATAAGTCTTACGTTAGCAGCTGAAAAACTGGAAGGTTCTGAACCCAATTTATTGACAGAAACAATAATCTTGAAGCACTTTCGCAGATAAAATGTAGATTTAAGTATGCGTATTTGGGACTGGGTGATTGAAATGGAAAGTTAACATTAACAGTTGGCATCACGTCTTCCGAAGTATCTAAAACGTTACTCTGCACTTCAACCTCATATGATGAATCAGTACCATTAGAGTTTTGCTAAATAGAGTAATATTATTTTTATTAAATTAAATAATAAATAGTTTTATTTATTTTTTAATCAGCCAACCAGATAACAAGTGGCTATAAATACATTACTTGTGTAACATTTGTCATAGAATCCAATGTAAGTACTAATAGGCTTTTGTTGTCTTGATTAAATGGTTTGATGTCCTGTTCGTTATTTGGAGAACGGCTAACCGATGAATCTTCATCTTCAGCCATATAATAATCCATATAATTCTGATTTCTGATAGAAGAATCATTTTCATCTAAAAAAAAATTTTATTAGTAAGTGAGATTTAACAGTAAAATTAACCTCAATATTTTGCGTAAGACTGATAAATATATTAAGTTATTAAATCATAGACCTTTTACTAATAGACTGGCTCTCTTCATGTTTTCATTGTGTTAAGATAGATGGAGCTTTTTATTTACAAAGTTACTCCGATACAATACAATATAAATGAAAATATATTAGCTATATATGCATCACTGCACCATGCAACTATCAATATATTTGGTATCGGATGGGCCGGTCTATGAGTAAAGGGATACTGAGATTAACTGACTTTATTAATAGGTAGTAAATTACTTGTTGTTTGTAGTAAATTCAATGCTGTTTGATCATTATATACGGAACGATTTCCTGCATATGGAATTTCTGTTTTGATAAAATGCATATCATTTTTAATAAATGGCATTTCATTTTTAATAAATGAATTATTTCCATATGAAAATGTAGGAATGTTATTATTGTCCGGGCTAGTTGACAAATTATGAATGGTTTCTATTCTATCTGTAACTGGTTTCCTTTCATGTTGCACAGCTAAAAAAAAAACATACAAATTATATTTTTTACATTATACCTATTTCATTAGTTTCAACAATCAATATACAGTTCACTATTCTATAATCAAGTAATATTGTATAACCATGGAAAATACAAACCAAATATTTCTAAGCTGTGAATATGTTTTTTTTTTTTTTACATTGATGATTGATGAAATTTAGTGATATATCATAACTAGTGTGACACAAAGTTATTTTAAATCATAAACAATATAATTTTTTTTACTAATGGAAATATTTAAAACACTTTTTTTTACTGTATATGACTGTTTTTTATGCAATTGTAATTTATATATGATATTATATACCTCTTGTCACATATATTATGTATCATTAAAGTGGATATTTTCACAGAATTATAAATTATGTGCCCTAATTAGACATTTTTAAGACATTAAATACACACCTCCAGTAATAACTTCTAAAAAATAATAGTTTATAAATTGAAAATTGAAAAGAAATATTAGATGACTATTTCTTAATCTCTAATATAAAAATGTATTCTTACAATCACTTCTCATTCCCATAGACAAGCATTTTTGAAGTCTGCAATATTGACAGCGGTTACGGTGATTTTTTGTTACTTCACACATTTTAGTACCTCTACATTGATAGCCTAGTTGCTTACGAATAGATCTTTTAAAGAAACCTTTACATCCTTCACAACTTATTGCTCCATAATGTCGGCCTAAACATATAAATACAATTTTAATATCACAAAATATTTACTGTTTTAAGCAATATAGCTTAACTGAATTTGTTAACACACCTGATGCTCGATCTCCACATACCACACATGATTCAACAGGTAAACAAAAGGAATGCATTTTGTCATTGCCAATCATGTCGTCAATATTCATAATTGTGTAATCAATTAAAACATTAAATATTTGTTTTTTTAAGTTCCTTATATTAAAATAATAAGCTGTAAAATCAAAAATATATATATTATTTAATTATTGGTTATGTAAAATTAAAAATTAATAATATTTTACTTGGTACCTATATTATTTATTATTGCTGGAGAAGAATGAAAAAAATTAGGTCATTAAATATCAATATTGTTTATATTTTAACAGGCAATTTAAACTTTTTAAATACTTTCAATACCAAAAACTGAAATCTAACAGAGATGTGTAAGCATTATGTATAAAATATTTGTATAAGTACCAATTAGATAAAAATTTTAAAAAAAATTCATGAGGTTACCTAGGTATTATCTGATATGTAATGTATATTATTTTCTAATATGTTCTAATAGAAAATTATAATTGATTAAAAGAGATTTTAAATATATAAGAACCAAATAAATGTGTTAAATGATATGTGTTTGAAAGAATGTTCAAGTTCAAATAAAAAGAGATTTATAAAAAGGCAAAACTGTAATTCTAACACCAAAATAATCGCAACTAGGTAGGTCATTGTAAGGAGAAAACAAATGTGTTAATATACCTTCTAATATTTTGCATACATAATTTAAAAAATATATATATAGGTATTTAATTTAAATCAATACATACGTATAAACGTGCAATAAAATCAATTGAACTGAAATAACATTTTCGAAAAATAGAAACAATGTAAGTAAACAAGTGGGTAATAAAGTATAGATATTATGTAGAATAATTTAAGGGACACTGGGCATTAGTAAATACATTTTACTGTAAACAGAACTATGATTGTTGTAGAATGGGGTTAATAGCAACCGAGAAAACAACAACCATTACTCTTTTTTTTTAATTTGAAATGAGGACACAATAATAACTAAAGCGTTCACAGCAATCTGTTGCCGTTCATGGTGAGCTGAAAAACTAAAACGTTTTTTGGCGTCTATACCTACCTCTTGGTCTGTGGAACCTTCAAGACGACAGCCATGTAAACGAAGAATTTACAAGGTAAACCCAAACACATTAGAAAGTATTGAGAATCAAAAAAATAAACACAAATAATAACAAAAGCAGATAATTTGTTGAAACAAAAACATTAAAAATAAAAATAATAAACGACTTGCACTACAAAAGTGATTGTCGTTTGTTGGCTTGTTGTTTACAGGCGACACGCCGTTCAGTAGAACGTCGATGGAGAGTCGCAACTTACTCGCAAGTCGCTATGATGAAATGTATTAAACACTAGAACGATTTCCAATGATATGGAAATCATTATGTGATAAGGGAAAAGTCACTGCGTATGATACGAATAAGGTCATCAGCTGATAATCAGTGACGTTCGGGCGTCGGAATTGGAACGTGCCGCCGCGGCCTCACTACCGCGATAACGATTAACGATGAGACCACAGATTATATAATCTGTGATGAAACGATGAAACGTTAAAACATCGAAAACATCGTAAATATTATCGTTTCATTTTAAGTGGGTATAAGTAAAAAAAGGAAAAGGAAAAAGAAGAACGTCGCATTTTCGTTTTTTTTTTTTCAAAAACTTAATAAGAAACTCAAGATTTAATTAATACTAAACCATATTTTACTGTATCAACTATCAACGAAATATCTAAATTAATATAGATATTCATAATAAACTTGTAATTTAGCCTTTCTCATTTCCTCTTTCCTCTCGTCCATTATCAGGTTTCATTTCATTTTTTTAATTATTATACTTTATATTTTATTTATTATGTATAAGGTATAACAAACTATATATATATATATATACATATACACACAGCAAAATATGTTTTTCTAAAGCTCTGTACTCTGCAGTTACGATTTTAAGTATAGTTAATATTAGTATCACACCATCACCTACTTACATTCAATTTATTAATATAGAACGCAAATATAAACTTTATTCTTGAATTTAATATTTTACGGTATCAGAATTTAGTATATAAATACTGCTAACTAGATACYACATAATGCACATAAAAATTATTCGCATAGTTACCATATTTATTATTTTGGAAGTTATGTTGAACTTTTTTTTACATTCTTATATAATACGTTATAGAACATACTTTGAAAAAATCGGGTATCGTAAAATAAGTTGCTAAATTAGAATAATACCTACCTAGTTTTTTTATAGCATATTTTTGTTATTTTTTGCATGTTTAGATACTATAATGCATTTTTAAATACGAGACAACTATACAAGCTAATAAGTAATAATTACTTAATTTCTTTATAYTTACATAGAGTTATATAGAAATATTAGAAATTAGAACTGGTGAATAATTATTTAATATTA